TCGCGCTCGATAGCCTGGAAACAGGGGTCGAAGTTAAAGTGTGTCGAGTGGTTAAATTGAAAGCTGCAAAAACATTCATTGTGGTGAGGGGGTCGTATAGAGACCCGCTAAGAAGCGGAGGTAGACGTCCATTTCTCCTTCTAGGTCAAGTCAACAGCCCCAGGTCTATGCTTACAAACTGGCTTATGCTGCTAAAGTTTAGACTGGGTTAGGCTTAGGCTTAACGAATCAGTGACGTCCTAATTTGGTGATCTGACCTGAAGGGGAGAACCGATATACATCCGAGGCCTTATAATATCCTTCCCTCAAGGTTATGCGTCCTCCACCGCTGATCCTATCAATGGTAGGGGGAGGGGCAGGGCTGCGTCAGAGACCAGCCCTACTCTGCCTTTCCACACTGCAGACAGCGCGACTCCTCATAGAAAAGTGTGTCAACAGAGGAGGGTACCCACAACATCACGCGTTCCGAGTTCAACCCAGTCTTTCCCAAGCATAGGATAGAATCAGCGACGAGGAAGCGTCCCCCTGGGAGAAGGATAACGGCTCCTGAAGGGGGGGGGGCGTGTTGCTGAATTTTTTCGTCGGTCGAACGCGATGATGGACCCTACCGCGACACCACTATTTACAAGACTGACTTCGATAAATAAGAATAAAAGGGATAATGGGAGATGAGCAAGGGATATTTGGAACCCTTCAACATGCTTTTCATCACCCAGCTCTCAAATGTGCACGGATGCGAAATCATTGGGTATGGTGCTTTCCGCCGCAACTGCCGCGCGCGACACCGCTTTCGCGGCTTTACCGTAAAGCGGAGGTGTAGGGCTGGCTAGTATTTGACTATTCGTAGGGGATCTGAGCTTTGATTTCATTCGGTAAAATAATTGCCATACCGGTTTCGGTTGTTTGACCTTGGCACGTTCACGAGCTGCTATGGCACGCACATCCGAGTTCATTTGAACAGACGGCGGTTGGCAAACCTTAAGAAGAAACCGCATGAGGTCATACTTTCCTACAATTTCCATTTAGAGGATTACCTGGGTGACAAGAGCTTGTTGTGTCCAGTGTTTCGCTTCCATCGACTCGGGTCGCTCCACTACAGCTGTCACCTCTTTCTTCTCCTGAATATCTACTTTGAGGTTCTCTAGATAACGAGCTGAAGAGCCTCACACACCTGCAGCGCTTTGATTAGTAGATCTCTAGCGACGTCCTTATCGGTGACAGGCACACCATCAATATCGATAATATGGTCGCCGACCTCAAATGATGCAAGGTTCAAGTAAGCCACTTTATCAGGTGTACTAAGCCAACGATTACGGTAGCGTATGGCGCTCATGTCCTTAAGGGGGACATTGAAGTGAGAGTGACTCATAGAACTCGGGACTAAGCTTAGGGAGGGAAAGGATTCTGGGAGAGGATGTGAGCAACCATTGTTCTCCCTGGTGTTTATTCCCGTCCTGGGCTTAGTCCTAGTGTCACCTACCAGCGGTTTTTGAATGCTCTGTTTTGTCCCCCCCCCTAAGGCATGAGCGCCTAGCGTATTAAAAGGACCCAGGTTAGCTCACCGCTAGTTGAGTGGCTGACAAAGAACCAGCATCGCAACGCGATACAAGTACTCGATTTTGAAAGTGCTTGATACCGAGACCAAGCTTGGGTCCACTCGGCTGCCATACTAGTTTCGCCAGCTGAAACATATGACTTCACCCTGGGTGTCCAAAATGCGGAATGTTATCGTCCTTACAAAATACATGTAACCATCTCGTCTTTGGATGAGCTTTGCACGAGCCTCAGGGATTCGAACACGAGCTTCAAGCTCTTCGGCTTTCTTCTGATCTCTAAAATAAGCTAACCTCATCCTACGTACCCCATTTTTAGCTGGAATCCAGTTTCAGACTTAGCGGCATACATGGCGATGGCCCCGAAAAACATGAAGGTTTTCACGATGTTGATGTCACGTGATGACACATGTGTTACTGATATTATGGATGGAATTACCGGAGGTCCGCTCACAGAAAGGACAATATGAAAGCTGGAAGTTTCCTGTGTCTATTTGTCTTTGTCATTTCCTCCCCCTCCCACCTTTTTCTCCCCGTCCTTCTGCTATCAAGTACTGAAAAAGGGTGCGGCATGATTTGGATGGGTGGAAGCTTGACATATGTCGCAAGAAGCGACTTGTTCCATAGATTCAGGCAAGGGTTAATGGTGTTTACATTCCTTTGGGCTAAGCAATCCATGGGAAATCTCACTTCTCAAAACATAAGGATCTTGGGGAGAAATATGTTTATATTCACAAGTTTTACAGATTCGATGTGCACGTATCATAGCTGTATAAAAGCTTCGCCATATTACCCCTGGGCAGATTTTCATCGAGATTCATCGGGACTCCATCCCCACAGATTATCCGGTAATTCTGGTCTGGCAGTCAATACCATCAATACTCGTCAACGCCTCAATAGAAGGGCGAACCGTCTCGGCTGTCTCCGCGGCTTCGATCTCCCCGCCGATAAGCTCGCACCACTGCGAAGCGTGCTTCCTTCCCCAAGGCGGGTAATAGTCTAGCCCTTTTTGCTCCTGGTATTCATCAGACTTATATCTGTATTCAGGTCGAGCTCCTGGCTACCACTCCTGCCGACTACTTCAATAGACGCTGCTCGGCTCCCTGTTCAATACTCGATCCTGAGGTCTGTATTCAGGTCGAGCTTCTAGTCTTCATCAGACTTATATCCGTATTCAGGTCGAGCTCCTAGCTACCACTCCAGCCGACTACTTCAATAGACGCTGTTCGGCTCCCTATTTCAATACTCGAATCCTGAGGTCTGATTTCCGCGGATCCAGCTCAAGAGTCGGGACGGACGACGCTACCTGCCACCCAATAGAAGAAAGAAGACCGGTGCTTAATTACTCTTCTATCCTACCGGATCAATAAAGGATTAGTATTATTCTAGTCTATTACCTCAATACGCGTGGCCAGTGAGGAATTCACTGTACGGCGCGCATCTAATACACCATATGTACGGTACCAGGCGGCTCGACAAAAGGCATATAGTAGCGCTCAAAAGTTTTCGGCCAAATGCTTTTTCGACCGTGGCTTTCTTTCTGCTGAATCAAATCAGTTCAATTTTTGATATGTTTCTAGAGCAACCTTCTCCACTTAGCAAGTGTATTACTGTTGGGAGAAAGAATTTAGAAAGAAAAAATTGTTACTCTAAAAATTCTCGAGTATGACCGAATTCCAAGTAAATTTCAATTTATCATAAAAACTTAGGGTCTGTTGCCCGACGGCGGGGCATCTGCTGACGCAATTGCTATTGACAAAAGAGAACATGTTAGAGCCTGTCATATATATTACTATAAAGAAGCTGGCCACTTAGGTTAGCAAACTAAGACATATCAAGAACTGTGACGTATTCTGCGAGGTACTGACCTATTTCCTGCCCT